GCTACAGCAACTAGTGGATATACCCTGTGAGATTCTAGGGGGTGGCTATCCTGAACCTCTTAGTCTTCTCACACTCCCCCTGCAGACTGTGTTGTCTTTTGCCTCCTCCCCTCTCCTGAAATGCACCCCCTCCTTCCTGATAGCCGTGATCTCCCACATCACTCTCCTCCTCGTAGATACATTCCATCACAGGTATGAAGTGTAACTATTCCCCGATAGTTAAATAATCCAAGCAACAATTGAATCCCTAATTATTATAAATTCCTATAGAAATATTTGAACCTATAGGAAGTATAATTTGGCCTACTCTGGCTAATACAACCTAATAAATTACCAAACTGTTGCATAATATCAATACATGTTAGTGTAGAAAATACATAATTATCAAAAAATATAGTATATCTTCAGCATATAATATTTTTGTTAAAATCCAGCCTTACTATATCCAAAATGTTTTCTGATATTTGAAACATAGATCAATATTTTCCATATCAAATTGATAATAAAAAAATAAAAGACATCCTTGATGAGTTCTACAAAACATCTTGATAGAAGAAAAGATTTGTAATTATTGTAGCAAAAGGAGTAGAGTACCACCAATTAATAAAAAGGAGGAAATCCATATTTGTAGAAGACTTGTATCAAAAATTTCCATTGTACTATATCAAAGGATTTTTCTGCATCCAACAAAACCATCACCACTGATTCCAATTTTTCTGCATGTATATCCAGACTGTCATGTAGTAATGTAATAATATCAGATGTTTGCAACCTTTTATAGAATCAGACTATGCAGGATGGATAATATTATCTGTAATCTACATACAAGGGCTACTAGCAATTATGTTGCACCAATGTAAAACAAATGAATTATAGTTTGCACAATCAGCAGGGTCATTACCAGCCTTCAAAATCACAATTCTATAAACATCACTGAAGGGGGTTGGAAAAAAAATTATGATGATGACGACTCTAAACCTCCAATAATGTTGGGACAAAGATCCAGTGGCATAACCATCCAGACTGAGCTTCTCCTGTTTTCATAGATGTAATGTTATGTTTTAATTCTTCGAGATATGAAGGTACAGCTAAATACAAAATACTTGATCATGCATAATTTTAGGAACAGCAATATACTACCGATGTATTAATTTCTTCCTCAGTTACTTTTGACTTAGTATTACACTATTAAGAATAAAATGTGAATTTATTGTATCAGAATCAATATTTATTTTACTCGGGCATAACTAGTAGTACAGTTAGTATTACATTGCTGCAATTGTTTCAGCTGAGAAGTTAGTAATTTACCAAGTTTTCCACCTCCCTCCCAGTATCTTTGTTTCATACAATTCAAGGAGTATTCTGTTTCAAGTGCATAAAAGGAATTAAATTTCCATTCGGTGTTCATAAAACCTTTATATAATACTGGTGTAGGTCATCTTTCATGCATGCTGTAAAGTTCCTTAAGCATTTTCCCCAAAATTTTGTGCTTAACCTTTTGGTTTTCCATGAGGGATAAGCAATACTACCACGTGTACGTGCCTTGAAGGCATCCCAGGAGGTCAGCAACCATGACAAGCTGGCCCCTTGGTTTTGTAAAGATGAACTCTGTCAGCCACGGATTTGTGGCTTGGTGATTCATGAGTTCACTTGAGGACTTTTGACTTTTCTGTCTGCAAGTGACAATGCTAATCTTTTGTGCATTTTTAGCCCCCTGCACTTCCTCATTGCCATGTAATGTTTGAAGAAGGAGGCTGCAACACAGAGTATGTGGATCTTGAAGCTGCTTTAATCTTCACAACTGCTGGCAAATTTCTGAAAAATGATTTTGTTACGTGTATTTTGGAAAAGGGCCAGACTTCTGTCCACAAGAAATTTAAGCCTGCATATTTTGATTTCAGATTATCCCGGTTATAGCACAAAAACTAGTTACACCAGAATGCTTGGATAGAAGCCAGTTTTACACCCATTTACGTCAATGGAACTAATGTGATTTAAATCTAGACATTCCAGTATAATTAGGTTTGTGAATCAGGTTGTTATGCAGAGATGTCAGTGACAAAAAGTATTTCAGCCCAAATATTTCAACTCAGTCAGTTTATTAACTCAATTGTCCAAGCCTAAAATTCTGTATTTGTTGTTTCAAGCAAAACTAAAAAAAACTTTCTCATCTTCTGTACTGTGGATAAAACGAATAATTGTTCCTGAGATCTACTTGGAGTGATCAGACTGCATCACTTTAAAAAAAAAATGTAGCCAGGTCAATCTAATTGCTGAGGAGCAAGACTTATTCCTTCCAAAATAGTTTGGTTTGACCTTCTTCCATTTGCTTCTTAATTCTGTCATTAATAGCTCACTTTGATGGACGTGTAAAGACAGGAAACACTAGAGCACACTTCTGTGTGTTTTATATTGGTCAAACCAACCCCATGCACTGTCAGCAGCAAAGAGAATTAACAACAGTAAAGATAAAATGAAACCACGCTGACAGGTTCTTCCACAGCATACATCTTCAGCCAACTATCCTGTGACTGACAAAGTTCATACAGATGTGAGTAGAGCATCGTAATCTAGATGTCACCTGCAAAACATTCCATATCATCAAGGAAACCAGGGCACAGAGCTGTGATAAAAAACATACACATTATATTGGCAATGAAGTGAGAATTAACAAAAGAAAGAATCGCCTGTCATTTCACGGAAAGGTGGGGGGGGAAGCTCGAGATATTTTAGGCAAAGATCTTGGACTTCAGTGATTTGAGACCTAGCAATATATTCATAATAACGTGCCTGTTTTCTGGTAAAAGTTAGAAAATGCCTTGATCATTTGATTACAACAACCCTCTTTCCTCTGTGGATAACTGAGAAACATGGTAGCCATTGGTATACTGACTGAGCATGACATAGCCCAAGTATGACAACAGCATTAATGTCCGGCCTGTTGACAAGAAACTCAGCAGCTGCTTAACTAACCACAGCTTGATAAGGCTCTTGTACTTCAATTCAGCTACATTCTCATCCAAGGCACAATGTACATAGATAAGAATCTATATTGCATACTAGTTAAAGCCTTTTCAAATAGTTGATTGCTCTTTTTTCAACATGAAGATGCAGGCCCTTTGTATACCCCCTGTAGTGATGTTGGTGGTTCTTTTTCCTGCCCTTTCCATGGTTGAATAGCCATTTTGCCTTGAAGCTGGGTGATGATGCTTGTTGAAAGAACTGACATCTCTATTCAGAGAAACTCTGGAGATCAGCTACAAACGGAAATGTATGATCACAAGCTCTCTTGAGATGGCTTTGAATTTCCACCTTGTGAACAGCCACTCTTTTTGCCAGAGCCAGATAGGTACATTTTGGTACCTCTGAAGAGGAAAGTGGTATTTTCAGTGCAAGAAAGCCAGGTGGACAAGGAAAAGACACAACAACTAACCCTCTATGGGCTCAGCCCAGCTACAAAGATCAAATGGAAAGTGCTCCAAACGATGCTTGAGGCTCAATGGAACAGCACTAAGTTAATAAACATTGAATCCCAGGTGTGAGCCCTAAACATCTGCCAGTAGAAAGGATATGGAAAAGT